AACAGACAAAGGTCTGATCTCCAAAATATATAGAGAACTCAAGAAACTAGACTCTAAAATGCTAATTAACCCAATTAAAAAATGGGGCACTGAACTGAACAGAGAATTCTCAAAAGAAGAAGTTCAAATGGCCAAAAGACACCTAAGGTCATGCTCAACCTCATTAGCAATCAGGGAAATGCAAATCAAAACAACTTTGATTTTTTTTTTAAAAAAAGCTTTACGTAGTTGATATTGCTATCTGTGGCTGTATTTTGAAATTGCAAGCAGCAGATGGAATTGAAATTTTCAGTTACTTTTCCAGATGTTTTATAAGCATGATCTAGTACATCCATATGTACCAAAACTGGGAAGAACTTCTGGGGAAAAAAATCCTGTTAAGGCTAAATGTATGTATCAATGAATGTTTAGGCCTTGGGTGTTTTAAAAGACACAAACTTCCCTTTAGAGAGATTATATTATACTGTTAAGTAAAACTTACAAGGTAATGTATTTCATCATATAGCCTAAAGTAATTGACTCAAAATCAACATTGTTTTTTTCTGTCATAATAAAGATCCTTACGTTTCTGGGACTTTTTTAGATCTTACATGTTCTGCTGAGGTTATTTTTCTATGTAGCTCTTTAGCCTTTTGACCAGGATCAAGGCATGCACACACATGTGTGCAATGTGTATGAGAGTGTACTGTGTGTGTGTGCACGCACTTAGGTGGATGTGGAGACTGATGTTAACTGCCTTCCTAAATTACTTTCCACTTTCTTAGTATACATATCAGTTGCTTAATTAGGTTTTTGCCAAGAAGCTTAGACACCAGTTTGTGAGGATGAATTCCATTTGTTAGAGCCCCAAAGGATTGCACACTTCCCTGGAGCCGAGGAATAGCTTGACTTTTTGCAGACTGTCAAGTCATAGCTTTCTGATCAACCTTGCCCTGTGCAGTAATCTTGTATTTCTCCCATTCCCTGTCAAAGATCGGCCTCCCTGGTATTGCACTTGCCTAGTTTATTTTTCTTGAAGTCGGCTTCAGTGAGGTGTTTAGGGACATTAACATCCCTGATAGCAGCTTTTATGGAGGTGGGCAGTGGCTGGTTTCTAATGTGTTCTGTGCAGAGGAGATTAAGGGAAGTAGGTCCAGTCACAGGCAGCAAACCACTGAGTGCCCAAGCTGTTCCAGGAAGACTCTCTTGCTCTGTAACTGCCCATTGAGGATGGTCAGGACTGGGCATAGTGTTGTGTGCAGCTTTTTACATTATGGTGGAAGACTCTTCCCCTGGATTTGCCCCTTCCCTGGTGGTACTTTGGCAAGAGAACACCTAGGTGTGTTGTCAAACTTCCATTCTTGTCACCTCCAGCTGGCTTTGTGACAGTGGCAAGATCCTCCCATGCCTTTAAATTTTATTTTCTTTCAACCTTGGATTTAGCAGCTGAGTACTTACCCTGTGCAGGACACTGCTGGGATTCACGACAGATTGGTAATGTTTCCAGTTCTTCTAACAGGTCTGACTCTCAGCTGCAATGGGGCTTCCCTTTTACCTTTTAATTTTCGGGTTACCCTTTTGAGAATGCCTCAGCCCTTTTGGCTGCAGGTATCTTCTCCTTTCTGTTGGACTCCTCGGCGTTTTCACCCACCATCTTGCAAGATGGCAAAGAGCTCCATCTTATTTTTGGAGACATCGTCTCTCATCTAGGAACTCACCAATTTGGGGCTAGGCTAGATGGCCAGCCAGCCCCGAGGATTGCTGGCAATCTTGTCTTTTCTTCCGCAGTGTTGAAATTGTGGGTGTGTGCTGCTGAGCCCAGCCTCCTTCTGCCTCCCTCCATCCTCGAATGCAGACGCAGGCCAATTGACCTCATGCTTATGCAGCAAGCATTTTACAGACAGAGCCAGGTCCCCAGTCCTGTATCAGTTCTTTCACAGTGTTTTGTTTTGAAATCTCCGGCAGCGATTGTGTTTGATGTTTTTGTGTTTCCTGATGACAAGTACTTAACTTTTACTCTCTTAAATTCTAATCCCCTACATTTGCTTAAAACTATAAGAAAATAGGGTCATGCAGTGGTAACACATGCCTTTAATCCCAGCACTAGGGAGGCAGAGGCAGGTGGAGTTCAAGGCCAACTTGGTCTACAAGGGCTAGTTTCAGGACAGGCTCCAAAGCTACAGAGAAACCCTGTCTCAGAAAAAAAAAAAAAAAAGACCCTCTTTTCTTATCTCTGTTCATAAAGAATAAATAATTTCTTAGGTAGGCCCCTAATGTTCTTTGCTTGAGTAAAATATATCTCTGTATTTTCATGGGTTTGTCAAGGTTAGGTGTGCATGTGCTGATATGTTTTTATCTTGTTTTATTGAAGGTGGACCGTGAGTACAGAAAATGTAGTCACCCTGTTCTTCACTTTATGGCACACTTACCTCAGCCCTCTGTACGATGTTCCTATTCTGTTTTATTTATTGTATTCTAGGGTCATTCCAGGTTGCTAGTTCCATTTCACCCTGTACACATTTCCCAACCTCATGTTTAGGATTTTATTCTATGTAATACATTTTCTCACCCCCCCCTTTTTATATTATTACAAATGTCCCAGCTTATTTTGAACCCTCTATAGCTGAGCTTAGACCTGCCCCTGTATACTAATTAACTGTTCAGACTTTGTTTATACTGTTTGTTTCTCTTTACAAAGACTTGCAAGCAACTCAGACACATTTTCTTTTTCACTCAGGTGCTTCAGATCAGGCAGGCATGTCTTTACATGATACATCTAAAATTAGATGCCATTTTTATATTTGTAAATTTCAAAACACATTAGTTCTTCCATTCGCTTGCCAAGAAAAGTGACTGTTCCTTTGACACTGAATTTACAACGCTACTTCTCCATTAGCATATTCATCATGCTTTACTGTGCACTGCAATTCCAGATATTTTCATCATTTACATCCTCAGTTTTCAAAGAAGCCTGAAGGCTAAGCTATTTTCTTAATTTTGTATAAGAGAGGGTGGGAGTCCAGGTTAGTTATGAAATGTGTTTTATGGAGCTCTTAGCTGGCTAGGTATAGTGGTAAAACTCAGATTTCTTTCCTAGATTTTGACTGTGTGCATGAAGATGCACCTTGTTTAATAAGGTGTCCAACTTATGATACCTTCCCCCCCCCTTTTTAGAATAAGTGGGGATTGGACAAACCATGTGGCTACCAATTTTCCAATTTTCAAGACTAGTGGGAGGGACTTAGGAGAAAGATGCTCTTTGGCAGGAATACAGGGAATGGAGGATAGGTGTTTAGGTGTTTTTTTCTTCCTGGACTTCTGTGTCACTCACTGCAGAACAGTGGATTGTAGTTCAAGGAAAATGGGAAATATGGCTTAACAGGATTGAAAAGCAAGGGTAACTTATAAAGATATAAGGAATGGAAAATAGAAAATTGATGAAATAGACCTACTTTTCAGCATGGTCGTTTAACTCCTTTTTAGCTACTTTTTCTTTTCCCTCAAAACTTATGTTTAAAGAGTTTGAATGTAAATCAGATGCTTTTAATGAAATGTTTTAAGGTAGCAATTCTGAATGGTTAACTCTGTTCAGAAGTTGGACATCTTCTAGCTTAGCAAATTCTGATGGACGTGACACAGTGCCACTGGCCCTCCTTATTCTGATGAATGTGACCAGATAGACCCACTTCTGTACTCACCCCAAGTAGGTTTATCTTGTACAGCGGCAAATACTGAAGGACTTTTACACAGAAACAGATGTACTGATGTTTAGGATTGGGCAAGTCTTCCTTAGGAACAAAAATTATATCCTCTAGAAATAGCTATTTAAGGGAGAAAGTATTATTTTGTTGAGTCTTTTTAAAATTTATCTAGAATGTCTTTTTATTTTACATACCAGATCCAGTTCCTCCACCTTCCCCTTTCTACTGCATCTCACCTCCCCCCATCCCATTCCCAATCCACTCCTCAGGGGTCGTAAATTCTCCCTTGGGGAGTAAAAATGTCTGGCATACCAAGTTGCCCCACCCTCTTGTATCAAGACTGAGCAAGGTATCTCACCATAGGGAGTGGGTTACATAAAGCCAGTCATTGCACCCAGGATAAGTCCTGGTCCCACTGTCAGGGAACCCCCTAACAGATCAAGCTACATAACTGCCACCCACATTCAGAGGGCTTAGTTTGGTCTCATGCAGGTTCCCCGGCTGTCAGTTCAGAGGCCTTGAGCTCCCGCCAACTGGAGTCAGTGGTCTCTGTGGTTTCCCTATCATGATCTTAAACCCCTATTGTTCATATGATTCCTCCTTCCTCCCCCCCCCACAAAAAGGAGAAGAAGAATCTGGCAGTCAAAGTTTATAAATGAAGAAGTGACCTAAAAAGTAGTAATAGGATGATATAATTTAGTAATAATAGAATGATATAACTTAGTAATATTAGGATGATAGAATTTAGTAATAATTACATGGTAGAATTTAGAACTGGAAGCTGACCTCTTTCTACTTGATTTAAGTCCCTTTTTATGAGAAATAAGTCCCTTTATTTATGAGGGAATGTAGGTCAGGAATAAGTGACTCTTTAAAAATAATTTTAAAATATTTACACGTGTGTGTTTATGTGTGTGAGTTCAGCTGTCCACAGAGGCCAAGGTGTTGGGTCATCTGGAGCTAGAGTTAGTTATAGGTGGTTGTGAGTCTCGAGATATGGATGCTGGGAACTGAACTGAATTCTGGGAACTGAACTTGGTCCTCTGCAAGAGCTGTATGTGCTCTTAACCGTGGACTCTTCTCTTGAGCACCTTACTAAGGGACCTTACAAAGTCAAAGAGCTGGACTTAAACTCAGATCAGAAATAAAATGCTTAAAAATATCACACTAGGTAGCAGAAGGAGAGAGAGCACAAGCAAGGAACTCAGGACCCCGAGGGGTGCACCCATACAGTGAGACAAGGGGGAGGTTCTGTCGGGAACTCACCAAGGCCAACTGGCCTGGGTCTGAAAAAACCCGGGTTAAAACCCGTCTCGCTGAACATAGTGGACAATGAGGACTACTGAGACCTCAAGAACAATGGCAATGGGTTTTTGATCCTACTGTACCTATTGGTTTCGTGGGAGCCTAGGCAGTTTCGTGGAGGCTCACCTTACTAGACCTGGATGGAGGTGGGTGGCCCTTGGACTTCCCACAGGGCAGGGAACCCTGACCCCTGACTGCTCTTTGGGCTGACGAGGGAGGGGGACTTGATTGGGGGAGGGGGAGGGAAAGGGGAGGCGGCGGTGGGGAAAATATGTAAATATGTGTGCAATAATTTCCTTTGAGGCTACCTGAAATGTGAAGATTTTGAAATAAATTCTTGCGTTTTTTCAGAAAAAAAAAACTCCAACTGATCCATTTGCCTTTTATACAAGCATTTTTCTAACTGGAGAGGCATTAGATGATAGATAGATAGATAGATAGATAGATAGATAGATAGATAGATAGATAGATAGATGCAGAAAAAAAAATATCACACTAGTACTAAGTCCCTGTGAGGGTTTTGTTGTTTGTTTTTCTACTTTTAGCACCTGAAAAAAATTTAATCTTCAAATTAAAGAGCAGTAATTAGCTGTACTGTAAGTTTGTATTGCATATAATAACATGACCTGTTCCTTGCTTCTCATTGCCTTCTTTATGCTAGATAAACAGGCAGAAGAAGTTCGGCTATGAAGTTTTGGTTGTCCAGGTGGCATCCACAGCAGCAGGGGCAGTAGCTCTGCAAAATTCAGGCAAGTTGTTCCTCATAGATAAAATGTGATCATTGTTAACAAATGGACAATAGCATGATAAAATTCCAGAATATCTCTAACTCTAAAATTCTTCTTTCCAGTGTGTGACCATGAAAAAGAAAGTTTACAGGATTGTGTCTGCCTTCCATGAAATTACAGTGCTGAATATTTTTCTTATGGAATGTGGAGACTCTTATCTACCTTTTTGTTTTTAGAACAGTGGTGCCTAATTATCTGTGCTAAAGCTTGTTCAATAGTGAAGATCCCTCTTCACCTTATAAGCCTAATGAATGTCATCTGTCTTGGTATAGTTAATTATCCCTGACAGAATGGCTCAGTGTTTGGTTTAGTGGATTTGCATATGCATCCAAATGCACACTCGTACTAGTAGTCACATATCTGTACCATTTCTTGTTTCTTTCATTCCTCCTCCCTCTAGAAAGCATTTCACCCACTCCGTAGCCTTCACATGCTCTTTGAAGTTTGCCGTCCATATGTCTTTTCCAATATCAGTTGGATTGTTAGGGAAGTAAGCCACCATGATTGTAATATGCCCCATGTTTAGGTTACTGACACTGAGCAACACATAATTTGTGATACAGAAGAGGAATTTCTAGTTGGAGATGATGAATTATATCAGTTTTAGTGATCACTATTGCTTCACTACTTAAACCAAAATCAATCAATCAATCAATCAATCAATCAATCTCTCTCTCTCTCTCTCTCAACCAATTTGGGCTCTTTGTATAGCTTCCTTGATAAAACTGGCTGTAAACTGAGTCACATTTTTCTTTTACTTAGAATAAAATTTATGTAGCATTGTGGACAGGAATATGTTAATAGAACCATTTGAAGTCTAGATTTAATCCCAGATCTGCTTGTCATTGAGTAGTTAAGCTTTTGAACCTTATCCTCCCAAACTTTTCTTGAGGTGGCTAAATGAAATTCTACACAGGTCTTAGGATGACTGCAGAGTCCCAAGCTTACTTTACTTACATTACAGGTATTGCATTGGCCCCTACACATGCACTTTCCCATTTGTGTGTTGTAGAAACACTGGAATTTCCATTCTCAAATACTAAAAGGTCTTGAAGAAGATGAGGGACTCCCCCTACCCTCTGAATGCAAACTGATCAATAAACTCTTAATTTATACTCTTACATTAGACCCCAATATTCTCAGTTTTAGAGCCTGCATTTTTTTAATTGTGCCAGAAAACACTTCTCTTATTTTGTTATAAGCATATTTGTTGAACCTAAATTTGTTTTTTGAGATTTTGATAAAATTACATTATGCCCTCCTCTTCACTTTCCTTCATTCAGGCCCTCTCAAATACTCCTTGCTCTCTGTAAAAATTCATGGCCTCTTTTTTCATTATTGCTGCAAACATTTGTATATTTATATACATTCCTAAAATCATAAATGCAATCTGCTTGGTCTCTATAATGTTACTTGTATGCTTTTAGGGCTGACCGTTTGATACTGGATAACTAATTGGTGTGCTCTTCTCCAGGGAACAATATTTTTCCTGCTCTCAGCATTCCTTAGTTGCCTGTAGTTCTTAGTGTAGGGTTGAGGCTTCTGTAGGCTTTCTCCCCTGTCCACTTTGCCAAATTGTTGTTGTCATTGTTCAGCTCAGATTGAGGCAGTTGTTTTGGTAGATTTTATGAGTGTAACCTCTGACATTTCTAGGGGACACAGTCTCACAGCAAACTCCCTGGCCTCATATTCTTACAGTCTTAGCACTCCATCTTCTGTTATGTTTCTGGCGCCTTAGGAGTGGGATTTGTTTTATAGTTATATCCACTGGGATGAGACTTCATCACTCTGCATTTTGATTGGTTGTGGCTTTCTGAAATAGTCCCTACTTGTCAGAAAGAGAAGTTTCCTTGATGGGGGAATGCCGACTACACTCAGCTATGGGTATAAAGATAAATATATAGAATGTGATCAGGAATTAAAGTGTACTGACTTTATGATTTGATGTTAGGTTTATAGACATAGTGTATGATTTGAAAAATTTAATAATCATCTTTAATATTCATTTTAATGTAGTTAGACAGTATTTGACTCAAGAGAATTTAAAAGTCTCATTGAAGCAAAGTTCAAAATTGTTTTAAACATGGAAGGAATTATAAATGAATATTGGATGAAGTGAACATATTCTTTGCATGCCTGCCCGACTTGCTGGTGCCTCCTTTCTCCCCCCCCCCCGAACACATTCTTTACAGTCTCCAGGAAAATATGTTCCCATGATTTAGTTAATGTTACAGAGTGATGGAATATCATAAACATTTAGTAAAAATAGAAAATACCATTTCTATCAAGAGTAGAGATTACACTATTATTTTTGTAAGAAGCAAATGTTTTTCATCTGTGAGAGTAAATAAGTCTTTTCATAAGAATAATGCTATCTTCCTTAAGCCAGACCATACTATTTTATACCACAATATAAATTATGCTATGAATATGACATAAGTAATACATTTTCCTAGGCTTCATTAGTGCGCTTATAACTGAGTTGTGGTCCAATCTTGAATGTGGAAGAGACGATGTAAGGGTGACCCATCCCAGAGCTATTCCGGTGGATCCTATTGACCGAAGCTGTCAAAAGGTAAGAAGATTTGCGAAAACAATGCATAGATTTGAAGGTCGCACAGGGAGGACTCCATGGAAACTGGACCAATGTCACTCATAAGCAGCAAACTTCCTGGTTTGTTTGTTTTTTTGACACAGGGTTCCCCTTTGCAGCCCTGGCTGTCGTAAACACTGATTGGTAGATAAATGTTTTGTGCGGTTTCAATTTTAGGATATCTGATACCACAAACACACTTAGTGTACTTTTGTGGGAACTGATTGAAAATAGTTTTCAGTTTCATGGATGATTAATACATCACAGTTTTATAATATGCTCAGTGCCTTTAAAATGTCTAGTGTGTTTGTTTGCTCTTGGGGTAATCTGAAATTTTCTTGAAGTCTCTTTAAAATTATATGCAGGTTATTTGTTCTCAAATATAATAATTGGATTGTTTTCATCTGAAGCTCTACTTGATTTGCTTAAAGTAGCATATTAGATTTATTACAACTACATACCAACAGAATTATTTTATTTTTTAGAAAAGAGATTCCATAAACATGTGTAGAGCTTGTCTGTATAAATAATAAGAAACCCTCAATATGCTACTATATGCTTGATAAAGGAATATATTCCCTTTCACAGTAGATATTTATTCAATTTATAAATTGTATTTGTAATCCATTACTATAGAGAATAAATTTATTTATTATTATATCTAGATATTAATGGGTTAATATCATGAAATGTTTAAAGCACTTTAAGTTGTTACATTTTACCTTTGATGTAGCCTCTAGATATTAAGATGAATTTTTAAAAGTTATATTGAAATCTGCAAATCATCCTTCTGAATAACACCTGCTTGGTGAATTTATTTATGCAATTGTTTTGTTGGTAGCCATGAGCCCTCTAGTTAGTTTCCTTGTGGTTCCTTTCACCGTAATTTAGAGACACATTTCTCTAAAATGCTTTCCTTGATAGCCAGTCTTTTCCCCTCCTCTTTCCTACACTCATGTAGAGTGGCAGTATTCCCGCATAGAATTCTCTTAACTAAGCATGCTTTGTAAATTTTAACTAAACCATTACATTTATTATTTGGTAATTTTGCTGTTATGCTAATATATGTTAGGTTTAAATTCTACTTTTTGTTTTTAGAGTTGGTGAGCAATTTCATCTTTGTTTTTAACAGGTTGTGACTGGTGGGGGAATATGGATACCTTAAACTTAATACTTGTTCATTTTATCCAGAAATACAATGGCTCCAGAGCACTGTATGTTGTGTATGTTCACCATATGGCACTGTAATTTGTGAAGTGGTTCTCCATTGAGTGTAAGGGAGGAAATGGGAAGTGGACTCTACTTTCTCTATTCACAAACAAGGACTGGATAGTGGCTGTCCCTACTAAATAGTATCGGACAGCTATGTTTTTATTTGCAGAGAGAAACTTTAGCCAGAAAAAGGGAAAATGTAGTTTAGTTCTTGTATAAATGTGTTGTTATCACAACTTCAAATTTCCTCATCTATTAATGAGAAATCAAATCAAGTAGTTTTTTATTTTTCTCAAATTTTAATTTTCTTATAGTGAAAAATTTTATTCACAAATTTCCTGTCTGTTGAATTTTTAAAATATCAAAGTGTTAAGCAGAATACAATGCTTACAAATAATTACAAGTAATATACAAACTAGTAATGTGTGGAACTCCGGGAAGAAGACGGAGGCTACTGGAAAGAAAGTGCCAAACTTTCTTTTTGATGTTAGTACAGTTGAGGGCAGGTGGGCACATTAGCAGGACAAGAGAAGTTTGTGTAGGTGACAGTCAGTTGAAGGCGACTATGCTATTTCATTTTGGAGAAAGGTGAGAAATGAGACTTTGGAGAAGCAGAAGAGAATCAGGTGTCCTGAAAGTCATCTAGAGAACTTGGCTCTCCTTACTGTCTCATGATGGCTACCCATGGAATGCTTTTGAGCTAAGAGTAAGAATGGATTTTGTGGGGAAACTCTGTCTAGTTGCTGTTAAGTAGATGAAAGTGTCATGGAAAGATAGACTTGGCCTGCAAATGCCGTGGAGAGGTGAACCTGGTATGATCAGACTGGGGTAAAGGAGCTACTTCTCATAGGAAGGCCCTGGCTTTTGAAAATTAACTATTATGTCTGGGTTCTACTGATTTTCATTGAGTATGAGACAATCTTATGGTCTAAGCTTGAGAATATATAGACTTTATTATCTTGCCTTCGCGCATTACTCTCTTGTGTTTTCTTAGTAACAATGGTATAAGGAGTGAGAAAGCAGGAGCTTTTTCATTTTTTACCAGAATCTAACTGCGGGAATTGCATAGCATTTGGAAATGTTTTCAAGCTCTTACATGTGCTCCTTAACAGTTGTTATATTAGCACTCTAAGCTCTTAAAATATTGCTATTTTGTTATTCTTAACCTATTATGGGTAGATAGCTCACACTGACAGTAGATTTATTTTTAAAACTACCCCTCATAGACATGCATGAGGACTGGAACATTTACATGAATGACTCTTTCTGTGCTGTATTAAAAAGAAAAATGTCTCGTCCCTTGCTCCAGTCCTTCCTAGCTCTGGTGAATCTGCTGTCCTACCCTGCTGTGTATGAGCTAACAGGCAATCAAGAACTTCCCAATAAGGCCGAATATTCTCTTCGTGAAGTTCCAGCATGTATTATTGTAAGTTGCTTTCTTTCAATTGTTCTCTTTCCTCCTTGCCTACTGTTTGATATTGGTAGCAAAGACATAATTTGACAATGATACACAAAATCCCCCATGCTTATCAAAGTCTAAATTGATTACTTATCCCTGGAATATCACCTTTTGAGTTACCTATGCATGGAAACTTTGGTCCAGGCCATGGAACTGTTGTTTTACCTACCAGAATGCAAAGCTAACCGTCTATAGCCAGGAAAGCAACTTGGCGTTTATACAAACTTCTGTAGAAATGGGTTTCAGATGACGCAGTAGCTTATCGACCGTGCTTGCGCTGCTCCATCACGAACTAGGATAGTTAAGAATAAATTATATCCGTAGAGTCCAATATATTTTCAGCCTATGTTTTAATGAATTTTGTATTATGTCCACGAGGACAGTATATGTATATTTATTTAATTTGAAGCTTAATTATACTTAAAATTGCTCATATTATTGGCTTGGTTTAACTATTAAAGGGGACGTAGTTAATTGTCTTTGGTTGTTTATGAATTAAACACGAATGTATAAGCATGTGTGCTTGAACACACACATATATAAGGATTAGAAAGGAATTACTGAATACTGAAATTCTATATTCCAAACATTTCCTTGTCATTTTGTCTTACATATTATTGGTTTTAGAAATGGTATTGTTCTTCTTGAATACTTTTTACTTTTGTTAATTCCAAACATTTACGTTCATAAAATTGCTTTCTCTTGTGGGAAAGTTTTGGTAACTATTTTGGAGTAAAATGTAAAGTTAGATATGTCTGTCTCTCAGTAGATCTTTAAGACTGTAGGGTCTCTTATTTTCTTAAATTATCCCAGTACCATCTGCTTGTGCTCAATTTTATCTTATTGCTTATGTACTTTATGGTTAGCTTTCTTATTCTGATGCTTGACTGGTTTGTGCCTGTGAACGGGTTAGATATTGATTTTCCCATCTACCACAAGAGGGCACAGATAAGCACAAATGTTGTGTGACACCACTAATGTGGGGACTCTAAAATAGTCCAGGAGTTAGAGTTGTCTACCGGGACTGAGGCTGGGCAAGAGGGCAGAGAACCAAGTCCTAGCCCCATGGACAAGGTTTTAGTTACACAGGTAAAAATATCCTAAAGTTTTATTGTATAATAGAATACTTATAATTAATATCACTCTATTATGTGCTTAAAATTTCTTCGTGGAACAAATGTGTGTTAAATGTCTTTTGCAGACTCAAAAAGAAGGTGAGAGGAAACTTGAAGTTTGTGATAGAATAATTAAAGGTGTCATTAGAACTAAACTCCCTTCTCGGGGATCTAGGCAGGACTCTGTCATTGAAGAGTTCATACCTGATTACTATATGCACATCATTTTCACCTTCCTCTTTCCTCAAACTCTAATTATGTCTACAGCTTCTCTCAAACTCACAGTTCTTTTTATTATTGTTTTACACACACACACACACACACACACACACACACACACACACACCCCTTACTGAGTCTATTTGGTATTGCAGAAGCTGATGTAAAGGCCACGGAGGGGTGCTGCTTACTATCTCGCTCTTTCTGGTTTGCTCGGCCTGCTTTTTTATAGCACAAGCTGTAGGACCACAAGCCCTGATGACACCACCCACAGCGGGCTGGGCCCTCCCTCATCAACCTCTAATTAAGAAGCTGCCCTAATGACTTGTCAACAGCCCTGTCTTATAAAAACACTTTCTTAATTGAGGTTCCCTCCTCTCAAATGACTTTAGCTGATGCCAAGTTGACCTAAAACTGTCCGGCTCAATAATGTATTTGGGAGCTTTTTAGAGAAAATGGATTCCCTCTCTTTCAACAGCCATTGATTGCTTGTAGCTCTTCCGCTAGGAGTGGGACCTTGTACAGTATCTCTCATCCACTTTGTCATGCTGACTGTTTTATTCAGGACACCATTTGCTTGGTGTCATTGTTTAGGTCTTCTTTAGACAATCACATTGTTGAAGTTTCATGGGTGCAGCTTCTCTGTCAAGTCCAGGTGATGCTATCATGCTGCTGACATCCCGATTTCCTGGATAGTAAATATGTTTGTCCCCACTTCTGCCACTCTCCCTGAGCCCTAGGTGTAGGGCTGTATGTCAGCATCAGCGGGATACTGATGTACACTGTGTATCTGCTGGAGTTGTGCACCTCATGTTCACTTGTTCTCTGCAGTTTCATCCATTATGAGACTCTGCAGTTGTCACCGTCTGCTCAGAAAGAAACTTCTTTGGTAAGGAGTGAGAGCAGCACTTATCTGTGCATGTAAGGAGAAGTATTTAGAATATAGTTAGAAACTGTATTATCTAAGGAAGATGACAGCTATAGGTTCTTTTATACAGTATATGATTTCCCAGCCATTAGTAGTTGGCTGGGTTTGCAGTATAAGACCTGGATTCCCCCTTCCCCATCCTGTTAAGCAGACCCTAAATCCAATTAGACAGTTGGTCACTTCCAATATAAAAGTGCCACTATTACACCATTGATATTGCCAGGCCAATAATTGTTGTGGCTTGTAGGTTTCACAGCTAATGAGAACTGTGGGGTTCTTTTCTCCCTTGGAATTTGCATAGCACTTTCTGATACTATGTCCTCAGGGTAGAGGCTTCCAGATCAGTTGCAGCTCAGTTCCTCCAAGTCCTGTGTCCAGAATACCATGGTTTCAGGGTCTTATTGTGGAAGGCAGCTATGTACAAAAGCCTATGTTGTTTTGGGAATCTCTTGGAGTACCTGACTGAAAACCCAGAGGAAGGTTTACAGTGCCTGTGACTAGGCTTTTGTCACTTAATTCTATGACTTTGGGCAGAAACATGAGTCTATTTAAATGATCTGTTCATCTCTCTAACATCTATCTATCCATTCTTTTTCTTCTATCCATCTATTACTATCTTTCATCTTTATCTGTCATCTATCAATCTTCATCTATCTATCTATCTATCTATCTATCTATCTATCTATCTATCTATCTATCTATCTATCTATCTATCTATTGTCTGTCTGTCTATCTATCTATCCATCCATCCTATAAATGTATAGTAGGCATTTCATGTCTTGTTGCTGCCTGACTCCAGTTCTTTACATGCCTAACTATCTTTACATGGCCGTCATCTCTTCCTGACTGGAATCTTCCAGTCAGGATATTTCTCTTCTCAGGATATTTGTCTTGGATTATCAAGGTCCTTTTGAATGACCTAAAATGACTAAGATTTTTAACTTAATTCCATCTTCAACGATTCCTTGTCCAAACAGGGTGACATTCAAGTTCTGGGGATTACAGCACAGACAGACTTTTAGGAGGTTGGTATTTAACCTTCTCACTGTATGACCACTGGAGAGTGGTCATTTCCTCTAGTTCCCCACGATGAAAAGTCCCAAGGCAGGAACTCGATGGGGATTCATTTTCATTACAGGCTAACCAGGGTAATCCAGTCTTGGAATATATAGTTTTAGGGCCTTATTGACCTATTCCTTATCATGTATTTGTTCATTTCCTAAAAGCATCAAGATAGCATTTATATGGGCACTGGACCACTTGACTAGATGGGCCCTCAAATACCTACTTTATACCAGGCTTTTTCTTTTGGGCCACCAACCAGCTCTCAAATCATGACACAGAGGCTATTAACTTTGAATGCTCAGCCTTAGCCCTTTTAACTTAAATTAACCTGTTTCTCTTTATCTACCTTTCCCTCATGGCTTATTACCTTTATTACTTCTGTATATCTAACTTTCACTGCCTCTCTATGTCTGTCTAGCTGGTGTCTGCCTGACTTCTTGCCCCAGACGTGTCCTTTCTCTCCTTCTTCTCTTCTTCTTTTGAGCCTTCATTTGTCCTCCTATTTATTCTCTCTGCCTGGCAGCACCACCTATCTTTTCTCTTGCCTTGCTATTGGCCTTTCAGCTCTTTATTAGGCCAATTCGGTGCTTTAGGCAGACAAGGTGCAACCGATGCAACATATCTTTTCATAATTAAACCCACATCCTTACATAATTGAACAAATATAACACACCTTTACACATCTAAAGTAATATTCTGCAGCATAAACAAATATAACACATCTTTTCTAGTTAAAATAATATTTTACAACATTACTTATACTGAATTCTTTGTTTATCCAGTCCTGGTTTTAGACTGACTGCTAGCTTACTGAATAAATTCTCAACATGGACAGTATCCTTTGAAATAGTATTTCTGTAGACTGCTAGTTCCGGGCCTTCCACTAGATTTTTGCTGGCTTATTCTTGTTTAAGAAGCTAATTCTTTTCCTGAAATGTTGTAGTGCTTAGAAACCAGCATGGTTATGGTGCTCTCCATAAGACAGGTTTACTAAGAGTTCTGCTTTCTTCCCTGGGTGGGGCTACATCAATGTAATCCTCTTTTAAGAAGAAATTATTTCCTATAACATTTTTCTTGTCTGAAAATGCATTGTCGTTGATGGATTGTTTTAGTCTCTCCTTCCATCAGCTTGTTGGCAATACTATATCTTCCCATCATTTTGTTCTTCCTAATCTACTTCTTCGATTCAGATCCAAAACTTCAGATCTCCCAGGTGTCACCCACCATCAGTATGCTTAGCTTTGTATTCAGATAGCTGTGCAAATTTGTGCTAAGTGATGGAGACAGAGGGGACAGCTGTGGAGAACATGACTTTGCAGCTGGGCATATGAACGTGAGTTGTATGTTCATTTCATTACATGATGATTGGAACAGAGTGCCCAGCTAAGAAGAAGACTGCAGACTACAGTGACAGAGCTTTAAGAAGAGTCTTTTATTCTCTATTATTCATCAATATTTTCTAGTCTAAAGTTATGTATTATTATACATTTGTACAAGTTATCAATAGATTTGTGAATGTGAGTATATATCTGTGATACACACACACACACATATATATATTTATGGTATATATGAGATAGTATACAAACAGACATATATATGAGCTAGGTTCTCATGTGGTCCAAATTGGCCATGAATTTGCTGTATACCCCAGAAAGCCCTTGAACTTCTGATCCTTTTCCTCCACCTCCTGAGTGCAGGGATTACAGGCATGAATCAGCGTGCCTAGTTTTTGTTGTGTTGAGAATCAAACCCAGGGCCATGTGCATGCTAGGCAGACACTACCAATTGCGCTATATCCCTGGCCCCGTATATTCATTCTTAAGTGTTGAGCCTTAGATCTTGCTAGGATAAATGTACCTTTTTTGTGTGTGCTTATAGTATATTTCTCAAATGTATTTTGAATTATTTATTACTTCTTTTATAAATTCATCTCTCACCTCTTATTCATTCATGTGCTGGGACTGTTTCCATGGCATCATTCATATAGAATCAATAAATTTTATTTGACTTTGTTCCTTACCTAAACCTTTTTTTTTCCTTATTGGCTGGCCACAGTAATATGTTGTAATTAAATCCATTGATGAATTTATATATAAAGTTTTTGGATTTGTACTCAAAGTATACACAAAAACAGGGTTTTGTGTTTTGTTTTTTTAATTACTTCATTTACTCTTGTCCTTTTTTTTTTTTTTTCAATTGAGACATAGTCTTACATTGTAGCCCAGGATAGTCTTAAATGTAAGGCAGTCCTTTTACCTTAACCTCTTGAGTCCTGGGTTTAGGCAATATGGGTCGTGACATCAGGCAAAAAGCAGATCTTTAAAGCAAAGCTTTTGGAGATGGATGTATTGATGTAGAGAAAACTGTGGTGGACTGAAGCTGTCAGGGCTTGAGGCTGCTTGTTGCTTCCAGTTTCTAGGGATGGCTGCATAAGGGGAAATCTGAAGGAACTAAGAATCTTAATGCTGAAACCTCACCTGTTGTAATTGCTCTTAAGTAGACCAATCTGTCCATCTGTCTGCCCTTCTACCTATCAATCATCTATTAGTCAGTCATTTGTTTTTGTTTCCTCGATGATGATAATATTTTCCCAGGATTCTAAACCACTTATTTACCCAAACTAGAGAGGCTATTCACATACTCTTAAGTAGTTACTAGACAAAAAATTGAAATCAATTGTTTTTGTTTCACATTTGAAGATTTTATATTTGCTTTCAACAGTAGTTTGTGTTTTGGGCTCTTTTATCTTTATTGTACATACATCCTGCTTGCTGCTTTTACAGTTAGGTGTATATAATGGTTCTCCACTTGGGGTGAACATTGACCTCCGTTTAGAAACGTTTCCAAATCATAATGCTCAGGTCTCACCTAGACCAGGAAGTTCACAAACTCTAGGAAGGGTCTGCGCTTCTTTAACCCCATCATCTCATGACTTCCAGTAGTTCCAGTGTGAATCCAAATTTTGGAATCATGAATCTCAATGAATATTTATTGCTTTAATTTATTTGAGTAGCTTCTGTTACGTAGAGTCTCAGTGTTTCTTTGTTATTTTTAGGATATAATTGATAGGCTTATCATTTTGAACTCTGAAGCTAAGATTCGCTCGTTACTGAATTATGAACAATCACACATCTTTGGTCTAAGGTAAGCTATTAAATTTTAAGCTTATTTTACAAACTGCAGAGATTAAGCATTTGTTCTATATATATTTTGTGTGACTATATAGTATGTGTCTATACGTGGGCATGAGATGGTATATATGCACATGTGGAGGCCAGAGTTTGATGTCAGATGTTTTCCTTCGTGGCTTTCTCATTCTTTTGAGACAGGACCTGTTAGTGAACCTAGAGCTCACGGACTGAGATAAACTGGTTGGCCAGTGAGCTTGGGGGAATCTGTGTGGCTTTGCCTATCTGCACTGTGGGTCCAGACGAGTGTCTGACTTTTATGTGAGTCCTTGGGACCAGGCTCAAGTCCTCGTGTTTGTATAGCAAGCGTTCATCCACTGAGCTGTCTCCACGGCTTGATTCTATATACTTCAAAGAGTGCTTAAATGGGCTAACCTAAAGATAGTATTGAAAGATGTCATTCTATAACATGATAGTAAAAGCAAATTATAGTATTTAGGTTTTGATACTATAGTCTTTGTGTGAATTTAGGTTTTGCATGGTTAGTGGCTGTCTCCTTTGCTCAGTGTGTAGGGACACATTAAGGACTACTTTCATTGACTTTTCTCAGGAGTCTCATGAAGATTTCCTGCGCTGCCTTGTGATTAGATCCTTTTTATAATAAGGCCTTAAAATAGGACTAGACATGGATGTTTGGTCTCGAGGTCCAGATTTTGCTTCTTGGAACTGATCATTAATCATCAGCTCTTCTTTCCTCGGGGTTTAAGACTGGTTGAGTTCATATTCCTTGACATTTTAGTTAGTATGTTGAAATGGGGAAGAATGCAGGTTTGGCAGGGATACAGAGGCTTAGGAACTCTCATAGGGAGATGTGTAGCTTTCTTTCCCACCTACACATGACTGATTTGAAAACAGCTGAATTAAGGTGAATTTCTGTGCTTATAGGTTCATGATTTTTTCCCTTTGTATTATCAAAGCAACTTTCTCGGTTGTAAGAGAGGCCAGCGATAATGTATCACTCTAAAAGCAGGCCTCTTTGCTGGTAGAGTATAGCCTACACTTCAACATCTTAATTTTTTCTGTTCATTAATACTTGGACTTTACCTTTTGACTTCTTGGTTGAAAGAAGATATAAAGAAGCTGCAATTATTATAGTTTTTTTTGATATTGGACCTTTATCTCAAAACATGTTTTCACATGAAATTTTAACTTTGAATTTATAACATGAGAAATATCATATAGCATGAAGCAAAAGGGGATTGTCGATTAAAATATTCAATAGAATTCTCATTTGACTTTTGAGTAATTAAAAGTAATTGGTTTCTTCTTGTTATATACTAAGTAAATATTCCCCCTTGTATATTCATTTATGTATTTAGCTTGTGCACAAACACTATGACATGTATGTAGAGGTCAGGAGACAACATTTGTAGGTTGGTTCTCCTTTGTTACCATATGGATTCTTGGGGATGAAACTCAGATAATCAGGCTTGGTGGCCAGTGGCTTTAAATGCTAAACATGCCTCCTTTTCTCACCTCTTCTCCTGTCACCTTACATTTCTTTTGTGATATTTCTCCAACTGTACTTAAAGGGAAACTACTAAAATTTTGTTATATAAAATAATATAAAAATGAAAGCTTTAATAAGTATTTTTGGGTCCTTTCTTACAGTGTACAAATGGAATTATCTGTCTTATAGAAAGAAAATTTTCTGTCTTGGTGTACTGTTACCCCACTGCTGGTAGTGTGGGACATTCTCACAGTTTGTGTCCTGAGCCCTGGGACAGTGTACTTGTAGGAGGTGGAGCTGCACTCACACAGCTGGGCAATGTGTGACGCTCACATTATTATCCTTCCAGGGAAGTGGGCATTACATCTGAACGACTCGAAGGACTTAAAACAGTGTGTTGCAGTTAAAAAACATTGGTTGTAACCAATATTAACAAATAGTACTTTGTGTGTTTTAGTATTTAACTAGCTGTATTCTGTTTTTGTTATGAAACAAGTATTGCCAGGACAGCCGTCTCCTATACACTGTAGAGCAAATTATTTCTGTAGAAAAGTTTGCATGTTAATTTTGGGCATTTTTGACTGGTTTCTAGAATTAGTGTTTTGCTTTTGGAAACATTAAAAATTATTTAGTGTGTGCCTATGAGCACACCTGCATGGATTTGTGTATACCTATGTATGTGTGCAGTTGCTTATGGAGACTGAATGAGGGTGTCAAATCCCTTGTAACTGGACTTCAGATGATTATGAGTACCCTAGTGTGAGTCTTCAGAAAGGCTAGTAAGGGCTTTTAACCATTGTGCCATTTTTCCAGCTCTTTTGACAAGGGTGTTTTTCTGTAATTTTAATTTTTATTATGTGCATTGGTATTTTGTCTGCATGTTTTTCTGTGTGTGGGTGTCAGATCTTATAGACAACTGTGAGCTGCCGTGTGGGTGTTGGGATTTAAACCCAGGTTTTCTGAAAGAGCAGTCAGTGCTCTTTAACTACCGAGCCATTTCTCCAGCCCTTGTCTTGTTTTCTAATAATTGTACTTGTTATTTTTTCTCCTTGGGTGTAACAGACAAAAGCAGCTTAAGGAACAAAGGATTTTTTTTTTTTTTTGACTTACAGATTCAGGGCACATTCCATCCTGCTGGGAAAGGCGTTGTGGCTGTGCTAGAGGCAACTGTTCATAGTGTATTTTCAGTTAGGGAGCTATAGGTGAACACAGCTTTCCACTTTGTGTGAGTCCAAGGCCTTTAGCCTATGGGAGGGTGCTGCCCATGTTGAGAACGAGTTTCTCATCTCAGCGAACCCAACCAGGAAAAGCTCTTCCAGCCATGGCTCATCTTTTGAGGGCTTCTAGAACCTGTCAAGTTGACAATGACTGTTACACATCATAATAATGCATATTTCTACTGTATTTGAAGTCTTCTCATTGTCTCATCCAGCAGTAGTTTGGAGGGAAATATCTGAAATCATTTCCACCCGCTATTTATTGTCCATTTAGGCCGCATGGCGGTAGATCCTAGCATTGCATTGGCTTTGAAGCTTGTGTTTCTTTGGGTTCTGGAATTTTACCAGGATCTTTCCTTCTTACAATCACAGTGCTGTGCTTGAGACCATACCTTCTTCAATATGCCTTCTGCTGCAGGATACAGCCTCCTGCGTGTGTCTGACTTTGGTTGCTTATCTGCCCCTTTACTTTTCTCTGCTTCAGAATTCTAGAAATGGCAAATTTGAACTACCTTGTGTCTGAACACGTAGTGGGATACACATGAGGCTTAGTGAAATGTGGTTTATGGGTTTTCATGTCTTAGCAGCAGCCCATGTTACTTAGACTATTTTTTTTCTGTAATTTCTGCATCTTTCTCTTGAGAAAAGTCTCTGAATACAATATTATGGATTTGGTCCTGGGACAGCCTATCCAATCACCACTCCCCGATACTGTTTTTAGTTCTAATCATAGTTGACATCTCAATTCACACATTTCTCAGGCACCAAAAACTTAATATGTCAAAAATTTAACTCTGGGATCTCCTGTCTTCTCCCCCCCACCCATGAATAAAAACAAAGTAAATTTGGTTTCTGTCTCGTTAAGTTACTCATCCATCTCTTTACTTTCTTCAGTTTGAAAGTCATTTTATTTTCTCATTGTTTTTCAAACAGTAATTTGTCTTATTATGACTAAATTAAGCAAGATGAGAAATTAAATAGAATAAATTAAGTGAAATTCTTCTTAATTCACAGTGTCATCATTAACATTGAAGGAAATTATTCTAGGCATCACTGTATGTGTGTGCTGGCAAGTAGGATGCATCCACACACAGAAATAAGTTCAGTTATGGAGATGGAATCAAGAGAGCCACTTTAAATTCTAAATGAATTCTACAGGAAGGAAAAGACACCCTAGCGAGATGGAAGGAATTGCTGAATTTCAAATAACTTTTTCTTTTTTCCACTTCAGTAAGTACCTTCCTCAGGATCCCTGTAAGGTTAAGAAGTAAAATTATGTAAAACCCTTCAAGAGATTTGAGGATTCTATTTCATTTTCAGACAGACTTGATTGACTCTACTGTGAATGATGAAGACATTACTGCTTCCTCGGGCCTCCCACTTCTCTTGTCTCTATCTGTCTTCATCTGTTTTATGTTGTTATAACAAAGTCCCCTAGGCAGGGTAATTATGTAGCATTTTATTTGCTTCTCGATTCTTATGACTGGAAGGTCTGAACAGTATGGTGCTGGTGTCCAAGCCACAGCCCTTAGCTGTGCTCTAATGTGAATGAGAGACAGAAATGTTACCCACCATGCCCCAGTAGGCAGAGCTTATTTGGCAGGGTAGGAAGCTGGGGTAGGGGTTCTGAATCAGTCTTGCGCTTTTTGTTACAATTAGGGTCTTGTAATAAAACCAACAGGGTCTTATTGGGAAGTGACATGGGCCCCTGAGAACTCAGATTTGAAGGTGCCATCCCATTGACCTCCTGACCTTGCTCTAGGCCCTACATGTTAAAAGTTCCACCACTTATCAAGCGCCTACAAAATGAATCATTGGGCTGTGCATTCAAACTGCACCCAAATCCTAGCACTTGCCATAAGCCTCTATCCTCCCATGTGTCTGTGAGAAGGTAGCTGATTTGCCCAATTCTGAACCTGCTTCACGACTCAGACACTATCCTCTTCTCTTTACCAAGAGAGAAGCAGCTGATTTGAGTCTCTCAGTAGAGGGCCTTTTATATATAAACATAACATGTGCCTTTTCTTTCTCTCCTCCCCTGCCCACTTCCATCCAGCCTTACTTGCTTGCTTTTTTTTTTTTTTTTTTTTTTCTGTATTGACCAGACTGGCCTCATACTCACAGAGATCCACCTGCCTCTGACTCCTGAGTGGATATTTGTCATTTCAAAATTTGTATTTTTGGGGCTGGAGAGATAGAGTTAATGGGTAAAGAGCATGTGCCGCTCTTCCAGAGGACCTGGCTTTAATACCCAGTGCCAGCATGATAGATTACAGATCACCACCATCTGTACCTCCATGTCCTGGGAATCCAATGCTGTCTTCTGGCCCCTTGGCAACAGGCATGCACATAGTAAGGCGACTTATACTCATAAAACACCCATACATGAAATAATAATAATAATAAAATGACCCTTCTCCACTGTTTCCTGTGCTCCTGGTCACTGAACTCTAAGAGCTGTGTTCTGTGCCACGTGAGGGCAATCACTGAAGAGGAGAGGCGAGGTGATAATCACTCTCTCCAGCCCTACCGCCTACCAAGGGCTTCATACAGCAAGATAATGAGGTAATTCATTGGGAAAAGAAACATTGATATTAAGCCTCCCTTCCCTGTGAAAACAGGGCTCGACACTTTTGGAGAGCATCCTCTAGTCTGCACCCTCCTCTTCTGAGTTTTAAGACTCTGAGGAAGGCAGACGCCTTATCTCCCTGAAGCACAGTGCTTCTTACAGGCTGTGCCAGTGTCTAATGCCTTTAAGCACCCTCCTCTCTTTTCCCGACACACAGCACGGCATCCTGGAGGGTAAAGCTGGCTCAGTTGTGCACAGCAGATTCTGAGCCCCTTTCCTGTGACCTTTGCCTTGTGGTTGCTCCTACACATTGAGTGATTCTGAACTTTTCTTGTCTGCCCTGTTGCCAGTCATTTTTTAAAAATGTTTATTTGCAAAATCTATTGGCAAATTAAAGAATTACCTGAACACTTTAATCTTTCGGAAGGTTTTAGCAGTTTAGTTTTCTTAGCCATCTGAAGTATTTAGAGAAATATATTTTTCTTAGGATGTTTTATTTCAACGCCAAAAAAATTACAGTATCTGCCTGGCAGTGGTGGTACATGTCTTTAATCCAAGTACTTGGGAGGCAGAGACAGGTGGATCTCTGCGAGTTTGAGGCCAGTGTGGTCTGCAGAGTGAGTTCCAGTACAGCCAGGGCTATACAGAGAAACCCTATCTTGAAAAAGAAAAAAATATAGCATCGCTCAGTATTAACTCTTTTCATTATATCAGATTACAAATTATTTTAGTAAATCTGTAAGATGCTTTTGAAAATTTACATCCCCCTCCCCACCCCCCCCCGGGGAACCACTGAGTTTATTGAGCTTACTTACTGAGCATGGCTGAAAAGATACAAGAGTTTTGATACTGTGGTGGTTTGAGTCAAAATGATCCCCAAAGTCCCATGGACAGTGGCACTATTAGGAGGTGTGGCCTTGTTGGAGAAAGTGTGTCATAGTCACTTTCTGCTGCCTGTTGATCTGGATGTAGAACTCTCAGCTCTTTCTCCACCACCATGTCTGCCTGTATCCATCATGCTTTCTGCCATGATGATAATGGACTAAACCCTCTGCAACTGTAAGCCAGTCCCAATCAAATGTTTTCCTTTGTAAGTGTTGCTGTGGTCATAGTGTCTCTTCACAGCAATAGAAACTCTAATTAAGATACCCCGAAGCAGCACACAGGAATGTCTCCACACAGTATGTACAATGGCTCTCCCATAGCTGCTTATGTGGAGCTTACCTTCTCTCTACTCTTCCACTGCCCATATAATCTCCATTACATTACTTCAAAATTTACAGAAAATTGCAGCAGCTCCAATGAGATCATTCTGTCCTGCATTCGGGACCTTATTCAAGGACATCTCTCGGCTTCCCAGTGAGAGGCTGAGCCTGTGAGCAGGCTTACTCCAGAGGACTCCACTGTTTGGTTTTGTGTTGTTTCTATTGTAAGTTGATGATATTATAGGAGTTCAGAAGCACAAAAAAAATTACATCTTACATAGTAATTCTTAAATATATATTTAAACTTAATATAGTTTCAAATGTCAGTGTAATTCTTCAAAGCTTACTCTTTCTTTTGCTTTGAGACTGTAATATCTAATATCAAGTGATTGTCAGTTTTCTTCAAAACTAAGGGACCTACTTCATGCAACAGCTAGCTTATGAATTGCTGGTTTTTTCTTTATTTTACAATTACCCACCAATAGCAAATTTTGTATGAGAATAGTAAGACTTATGAAGATTTTTTTCAAACAAGACAAAAATGCTTTATTTAGATCACCAAGAGTAATGTTTCACAGAAAGGGAGCAGTTACAAACTCTAAAGTTGCAGATTCTCTTTTGCTGTCAATATTCATTTACCCCTAAAATATTTTGAGATGATGCTATGTCCAAATATGAACTCAAGTGTGTTGAACAGAGTTCTCTAGTCTCATCACATTAAACATCTTTAAAAACATTTTAATGCTAAGAAATATCTAAACAGTGTGGTTCTTGCCAACGACTCACTGTGATGTCTAGCAGAACAGCCTAACCTATGTATACTTTCATGAATGTTCCCCCTGAACACAGCAGTGGCTGCTTCTTGCTACCACACACAGCCTGTGCAATAGCATGCATTTTTTAAAAAAATAAGCAACTTTACTTCCCTACAGGCATGACAACCACAATAGCCCAGGAAGTTATTCTTAACAAAAAACCCTACAGTATGTGAATAACTCAAATCCCGAAGCCTGCCCTCTCTCAGAGCCCCTCCTCCCCCAGGGTGGGCCCACCTAGAAAGGAAAACACCAAGCCAGGTGCTTACAGAGCCATCAAACTTTAACAGATTGTCCTGGGGTTCTTGCTGCTATAGTGGGCCTCACAGGCGGAGACATATGCCGACTCCAGGAAGAATTCTGCCTGGTATTCTGCTAAAAATCTCAGGAAGAGATCCAAGTGCTTCAGTAATGCTTTCAGGTTCTTCTCAGAGAAGGACATCTTTCCAAGAATCTCGGGGAGTTTCACAAACAGTCGCAGTAAATGCTGTGCGCCATAAATGTATGAGGGGGGAGGCGGCTGGTGTCCTGGGGGGTAATTGTCAGGCACAAGCTTCCAGGAGAGGATCTCATTTAGTTCCTCTGCTGTCCCTTCAAAGCCAGCAAACATAGCACTCCCTTCCTTCCCTGGAGTGAGAGAAAAGGGGGACGGTGATGTGCCGTGCACAGGTGTCTTTTGCAAGTGCGGGAACAGCTTGGGCACACTGCGCTTGGCCTGGGGTGAGGCCCGGTCCTCAGGCTGCCAGTGGCAGTGGGCAAGGTGTCGCATGGACCGCCTGGGAGCCCGCGGCACTTCCGCCTCCGCTCTGCGCCTCTTGTGGGCGGCGGGCCCGGCCACGGGCTGGCTCTCGGAGGGCTGCGGGGTGGATGGGCCCGGCCAGGGCGCCTCCTGGCTCCTGCCTGTCTCGGTGGCTTTCTCCTCAGTCGGAAAGAAAAAGGTGGAGGAAGTCACCATTTCATACTGTGCCTGTTCCTGAGGGTAGAGCAGCACGAGGGGGAGCGCGTGGTCGAAGGTGATGCGCAGCCCGTCCGCCATCTCCCTGCAGAGGCCCACGCTCCTCTCGGGCGCGGTGCGCTGGGGGTGCGACCGGCGGTCCCCCGAGGACAGCGCGCTCGCCCAGAAGTGGCGCACGTAGCACTCCAGGATGGCCCCCACGTTGGTCTGGCATGGCAGCCTCACCAGCCGCCGCCTGCGGTTGATGTAGTAACAGTCGTCCGTCAGCCGCTGCTGGAGCACTTCCGGGATGGGGATGCGGACGGCCCTTTCATCCGGTTCCCTTTTCGCGTGCGACTCCAATTCCCTCTTGCCTTTGGGCTTTGGGTCGGTATCGCCATGTTCACCCACGTCCTCATCCTTCTCCTCACCGTCGTCCTTATGGCCGCAACCGAGGGAGCTCATCCTTTTCACGTTCCCGACAGTCCCCGCCGGCAGACGACCCGCTGCGCTTTCCCCTTCTGCCTGGGCTCCGCGGGCTGGCGGCGGCTTTTCTGGCTGGTTCACACTGTAACCTGAGACTTCATCTGTTCCACGGAGCCACGGCTTTTGGGCTGCCACCTCCGTTCTCGGCCATTAAAACGATCTGATCGCCTGGAACTTTCCGCCAGTTTTGTCTTCCCCCAGCAACAACATGACGTACTTGGCGTGGCGCAGCACTCGCGCCAGGGCGGGCGGGGGTCAAGCAGGAAGCGCAGCACTTTCTGGGTAGAATTGAAATTCTGCTCCTTTTTCGTAAGGACCAACCTCTATGACTTTAGGAGAAGAAGTAAAATACTAATTTAGAAATAAATTTAGGTTAGAAATTGGTTATTTTAACGTAATAAACATAGTTGAGTGTTAATATTCCATCAGAGCAAATTACGTAATTATGGATTCCCGGTAACCCAGTTGCTAGTTAAATTTCATTACATTAGTAATAAGAAATAGTTCAAATTAACTTATGAAAAATATTTTTAGTATCAGAAATTAGAATATAATCTTGATTACAAATTCCCTTTTTTAAAATTACGTGCGTGCACACATTCGTAGATACCTATATACACACACCCAGTACTTTTTGTTCTTTATATTAATTTAAATGATCATCTGTTGCTAATGGGTTAATCCTGTGTTTTCTTGGATAAGTAGATTCTTCCGTATTTATAAAATTAAGATTTATGAAATTTTGAATTAAAACCACAGATAAATTCGTGAATGTAATTATTGCTTTAATAACAAATTTAGAACTGGTGATGCCAAAGGACTGGCCGGTTTTCAAACTATACATTTCTATTTACCCTTTTACCTAGGGGATTCTTATCCTTTGTGACTGCCTGTATTCTGCCAACTTAGTGAAATTTATTTTTTTTTCACTGACTTAAGAAATACTTAAGTCTCCATCAAGCACTATGCTTTATTGGAGAGTCGCGTGTTGTTTTAATTTGGGGATTTTTTTTTTCTCTTCGCTGAATTTTTCTTCTCCATCTACCTTTGATCATTGTAAAGGTTGGTTTTTAGTCCTCTGTCAGTTCTCGCTACAGGGGTTCAATGATCAGTTCTAGGCTTTCCTTCTTTCTTCTTCTTCTTCTTTTAAATGGTTGTTGTTTTTGTTTGTTTCTTTTCTGTGTTCTTGCTACGTAGCCCCAGGCTGCCCGCCTCCTGCCTTCACTGCCAAGTGCTGGGCATTACAGATGTGTGCTATTTCACTTGCCAGTGGTCAGCTCTTCATAACCCCGCCTCTGTGTACCCAGGCTGAAGCACTGCTCTGAGCACTTTCTATTGAACATTAACATTTGCAAAATGCGTGAATTTATCGATCTCTGTGTGCTTTTAATCTATACTTTTTATTTATATATTTTTTAAAGCTATATATTTATAAAAGCCCAAGCTAAACTGCAGCTGCAGGAGGTCCCAGAACCTTTCTGCAATTCAGATCTGCATTTGGGAGTAGAGTGAAAAGACTCCCCAGAGTTTCCACTCACACTTCACTGTAGAATCCCCATGGGAAGCTGACTCTGCCCCCTTCTCTCCTCTACAGATCTTCAGACGTGTGTGTGTGTGTGTGTGTGTGTGTGTGTGTGGGTGTGGGTGTGGGTGTGTGTGGTTGGTGTGCATGGCTACTGTTTGTATCAATCATGTCCCATTTTTGGGTTTGACTGTTAGGGAGGTACATAGTTTTCTCCAGTGCTGTAGGATGAAGACTTTCATATCAAAGAAACGAAATGTGGTTAAGTAAGATATATATGCACACCCAAATAGAGGTAATATCCAAATGTATATTTATGTGACACACATTCATAATATGTGATTAGAGTTTGTAAACACACACACTATAGAACCTATGAGAATGTACAGATTTAAATTATTGGTAAAAATGAAGTGTGCTTCTTTCCCCAGTGACCTGAATTAAGAGCAGGAGAACGTGGCAGAGAGAGAAGGGCTTGTGACTATGGGGAGGGGAAACTGAGAACATGTTTGGAATATATTCAAGGGGAGGACAGGCTACCCAAGGCCAAACCACACAGATTCTCTCCTCTTGCCCTAGACAAGAGCCTGCCTCCTCACAGTAGTGGTTCGTAGTGTTTTAAAAGAGGCATGTAGTGTTTCTAATAATTAAAAGTAGAGTTAAGGGATTTGGCTTGGGTTATGCAAAAGCTTCTGAGGGATACATTATATTAAAATAAGGAATCAGTTTTATTAAAATATACACTGTAAAATAAGTAAAAGGGTTAGTTTCTAATTTTACAGATTGTATTCAGATACCTCAAGTATTTCACATTTTTATTTCTAGCAGTGAATGAGAGAAAGGGGGAAGGAAAGGGGTGGGGGAGATAGAAGGACAAAGAGAAGGCAGTGTGGAGCAAGCTGTGGAGAGGAGAGAGTGCAGGGAAAAAAGAGAGGAGACTGAAGGCAGGGCGGGGGGGGGGGATGTGACAGGTGGAGGCTAAGTTTTAGCGCATGTTTTTGTTTCTGTGAGAAACAAAAAGGAGAAATTTGTCTTGACTCCTGATATCATAGTGAACAGCCTCGACTGTCCATAGTCCTTCCGAGGAAGGGTAGGGTGCAGTAGAGCTGCTTACCTGATGGCAGCTAAGACCACAGAAGTTGATGTCGCGGGTGGGTGATATAGACCTTCACAGGCACATCCTCCCTGTCCTACTTCCTTCTTTTAGCGTCCGCCTTCTGGTTCCCACCATTTGGTTATCTACTCAAGTAAGAATCCGTGAAAGGATATCCACTGATCAGGCCTTCACCTTTATGGCCAGTCACTTCCAAAAGCCCGCCTCTAAACACTATCCCTGCAACCTAGTCTGTAGCACATGGGAGCCTTGGGGGGTGGGTGGTTAACTCCAAACTGTAAAAAGAGGCAGGTACACAGGATGAAGTGGAGGGAATGAAGATGGATGGTGAGTATACCACATCAACAGAAAGAGAACTAAGCCAGGTAATGTGTGGTTGTTTTAATTAGCAGCTTTTCCTACGTTAGTTTAGTGAGCTCCTTTCGCATATGAGGCAGACAGTCTTTTTTAGGGACCTAGATTTCCTCTGCTCTCCTTCCCTCACTATAGCTGTTATTACATTCTTGGTCGGATCCCATGTACCTTGAAACCTTCCCATGGCTATAAACATTTCATTCATTGATGGATGAAGTAGCAGTTTGGTATGGCTGTATTAGTCTCCCTACAGCTTGCTTCTTCTTTAATACCTGAACGATTTTATAGTTGCCTTGTTGTGCAAGTATCTTCCACTGAGGTATCTTGAGACTATCGCAAAGCATAAACCATTCTGTCTCTTATACTCTCATGCTTACACAAAGCCATGAAGTCCCTAAATGTGCACACTGATTCTAATTTGTTACTTCATTTTGGAACAGTTCCCTAAGGCAGTTATTTTCAGGCTCCTTTAAAAAATAATTGATGCAAATAGGGCACAGAAAAGTCAACTATTTACTTCAGATGATATTACTAATTTGTGCAGCCAGAAATTTAATCCGGGCTTACTGGTTCCAGAGACTGTAATGCCCAATGCATGCATTGCTGAGGTTCCCATTACTGTTATCCTACACACACACACACACACACACACACACACACACACACACACACACACTATTACTTTTCTCATCCTGTGATGATGGTTACTATAGAAATACTTCGCAGAGACAAGCATAGCTAGTACAGTTCTCGCCTCTCCGTGTGGGGCTGGGAAGTCTTATCTGGTATTTTTCACTTTCCTACATTACAAGTATTCAAAGAGACTCAGCTGCTTAGGGTTCTATATCTAACTTTCAGACCTTGGTCTAAAGCTGGTTTTTGTGGGGTCTGAGCCCCAGTGAGCTGTATTAAACCTGTAGTAGTTTTTGGCACTAGATGAGGATTCTTAGGAGATCCAAAGAATCTATGGACCCTAGCCATTTTCTTCCCTTAGCAGCCAACAGTAGTTACCTTCCCGTTGGTTGGTTCAGTGATATAAGGAGAACGTTTATATTTCTACATATGGGAATACTCTAGAATACCTCTCAGGACTGTGAGCTTTTCTAGAAAAGCATTGCTGACATCAGCTACTGACACCAGTACGGCATCCAGACCCCCCACAGTCCAGTTTGGGAAATGCAAGGAGCCCTGCCAGTGCAGGATTACTGGAGCCCGGAGGCTGAAAGGCAGCTGCACGTCTGAAACGCCAACCTCAGCTCCGGTGAGGACTCCGGAAAGCTGATCCTCTGCTGCTCAATGCAGCGCTCTCCGGCTGGCCGCAGTCCCTTTTCACCCCAGCAGTAGACAGCTTCTGCAAGCTTGGAGGTGGGGGTCGGGACCTAGAGAATCTTGTTAGTTTCAGTTTTCCCCGGGTTTGTCCGGTTTACTTCCTGAATCTCTAGCGCCCCACCCATCCCTCCCGGTGGAATGTTTCAATTCCGGGGAAATGTCCCCAGGACTGGTTCATCAAACCCACCCCGGAAGGGCAGGGCGGCCCAACAGCCAAGGACAGGAATGGGCTCCACTGTTAGTAGAAGGATACTGTGCCTTATTATTTTCTAAAACACAGTTATGTTGGGGGTAGGAAGTCTTGTCACCCCCAATCCCCAGGAGCTTTCTGACTCAAACTTTCAGAGGCTCAAATTTAAGGGGCAAAGGAGCTACAGAGCCCTCTTCTGGTAGGCTGGAGTACAGCAGCAGCCTCAGAAAATAAATAAAATAAAGGAAAGAAAGAAAGAAAGAAAGAAAGAAAGAAAGAAAGAAAGAAAGAAAGAAAGAAAGAAAGGAAGAAAGAAAGAAAGAGAGAAAAGAGACAAAAGAGGCTGAAGTACTAAAGCCCAGGCCTAACAAAGCACTGTTGGTAGGTGGGTGGGTGAGGCAGCAGGTGGCTGCCAAGGTCACCATGGCAGCCAAGAACAGGCCTAGACTTTCTTAGGCTTTTTCTTACCTAATACAGACTGGTGGACCTGATTGGCCCACTTTTAGTTGGAGGAGGACTAACTTGGGGGTTCTTCCTCTCCCTTTTGTTTATTTTATTGGCATTCTTACGCCCAACCAATCAAGGATGTTCTGGGGCTTTAGAGCCAGTTGTTGCATGAGCCAGTGAAGGGAGAAGGGAAGGCTCCTGACTCCATTGGACTTCAGAACCTTGGCCCTGGCCACTTTGGTCAGGAGAGAGGAAAGACTGACTGTCTTCAAGACTCACAAGACACAAACCCACGGAAGGCTCTCAACACTCCAAGTCTCTACCTCCGTCAGGGAGCACAAGGAGCCAGCCTGCAGGACCCAACCTGCAGAGAGACTCATTTCTGTTTCCTCCTTGAAGCCTCCAGGCTCTGCCTGGCTGCTAGGGTAGTTTGTTGTGACCACCAAAAACACCCTGACCAAAAGCAGCTTGGGGAAGAGGGTTTCTTTACCTTACACTCCCACATCAAAATCCTTGAGACAGGAACTGAAGTAGAGGCCACAGAGGGGCCTTTCTTACTTACTGTCTTATTCTTGGCTTCTTCAGACTAGTCCAGGGTCACCAGTTCAAAGGGTGTCACTGATACCCAGTCACTTGAGCCCTCCCACATCAAGCCTCAATCAGAACAATTCAGGACAGCCTTGCCCTCAGGCCTATCTGCCAAAGAAGGCATTCCCACAGTTGGGGCTTCCTCCCCTAAGATGACTGTAGTTGGTATGGAGTTGATATGAAGCTAACCAGCACAGCTGGAGAAGGACATTTGTCTCTGCAGCTGCTTCTACCCCTCAGTCCATCCCACAGTCCCAGGCTTCCAGGTGGTTTGATCCCCTTGACTTGTGTACTTGTTCTGCAGGGGGTTGTTCTCAGCTGACTCTTCCACCTTCTGAGAGCTTTTGAGCCCTAAGCCCTTCCCAGAGCTGTGGCACTTCCCCCCTATAATGACTCTCCTCTCCACAAGTACCCCCTGCTATTGCTAGTTCAAACTTGTTTCATTTAAATCTTTCCTGGTGATCCTTTTTTTCAGGCGCTTTATCTCCTTTAAAGGTTGTTAATTCCAAACTTGCAGAGAACTTATTCGAACTCTTTGCTGTCTGCCCACTCTCTTCTTGGAGAAGGCTGGGACATGAAAGTGCCGGTCAGAAACATAATCAGATCTTCAATTGTTTGTGCATAATACTCTCAGCTATCAAAAGAAAGTGGTGCTTTTGTAGGATAAGGTTAAACTGACCCAAAGAACACAGTAAATTGTGTAAACATAGGAATTATATGCGCAGCATAATCTCTAGTGAAAAACCCTCGTTTTCAAGGTCGGTGGGAAAATTTCCCCCAGACTCAATAATTCAGGCCAACAGATGCAATCAGCAAGAGGTGTCTTTATTGATTACACAGGCACCTGTGGGTGTAACAGTAGCTTACGCCAACTGCCCACCCCGGGCAAATTCAAACAGCCATATTTATAGGGAAAAATGATTACATAAGAGGGTAGTATAGAACAAGCATTTCATTGGCTCTCAAATTGGTGGGCTCAGCTCATCCTGGAAATGGCCCCATGTCTAGTCTCGAATTTCCCCGAAAAACCATAAAGACAGATAAAACACCCTGCATCGAGTTTACACTTTAGATAGGATATCTTGGCAGGGGGTGGGTGGGGGGGGGGATGGAGTATCCCTTCTCCTTAGTCCCGAAAAACTCCAAAGCTACATATAGCACTCTGTCTCTCTCCTTAGCCTAGTCAGTGAGTCTGCAACCCATAGATACCCAGTTTTAGCATTGGCTGAGCTGAGGGGCCCAGCTAAATTTCAGCAAAGTTTAACATAGTACATGGGCTTGGGGGTCTTTCAAGTATGGAAGTCTTTCACTAGTTTATGTGAAATTTTCTTTAGCCACAGAAGAAAACATTACTAAGTCTGGCTCTAGTTGTTACCATGTGCTGTACCTCCAACTGCTGCTCTTTTGACCATGTAGATTTCTAAGGGGAATCTTCAAGTATAATATCTACTAATTTACTTTGTTGGAAAGATAAGCATTTAGGTATTAATTCTGCAGCTTTATGGGCCATGGCTGATGACTGGAATGGATGGTCAGGGGCTCAGTATCCAATCATTATGAGATGTATTACCATGGTAACTCCACTAGGATTCAGTGGATAGTTTCCAAATCTATGGGTGTACGGAGGGATCTGATTAAATAAATCACAAAACAAAAGCCATGAATCTAGGAAAGGGGCTGGTAGGGATGGGGGCTTGACAGGAAGGAGGGAGGTAATGGGGATATTGGGGAGCGAGTAATGGATCTATATCATGTACCCACATGAAATTTTCATACAGCAGAGCAAATGAAAAATAAAAAGTGACGATAAATGGGGAGGTAAATAGAGGGCTCCCTGAGAGTAATCCATGTTTTTCTTGGTATATTCATCATATTTAGTGATGAGGGTTTTTTTTTTTGGGGGGGGTTATTTTTTTTTTTGTTTTTGTTTTTTTGAAACAGAGTTTCTCTGTGTAACAGCCCTAGTTGTCCTGGAACTAGCTCTGTAGATCAGGTTGCCCTCGAACTCACAGAAATCTGCCCTTCTCTGCCTCCTGAGTGCTGGGATTAAAGGCCTGGCCTATTGATGATGAAGCTGTTTTGATTTAAGTTACCTAATGTGCTTTGACCACATTCATCCCTATATCCTCATCTTTTTTCCCCCTCCCACTCCTTCTAGTCTCCTTCCCATTCCCAGATTATTTCATCTCATTTATCCCTTTTACCCAACACACACACACACACACACACACACACACACACACACACACAACACACACAGAGAGAATATATAAATATAAAAGTATACTCTGGGATCCACATTTAAGAGACAACATTTTTTTGAGTATAGCTTATTTTACTTAGCACCATCTCTAGTTGCATCCACTTTTTTTTCTGCAAATGATGTATTTTCTTTCTTTCTTTAATGGCTGCTTAAAATTCCAGATGTGTGTTCATCTACATTTCTTACCTGGTAACTTTTGCTGAGGCTGGTTCCATGACTTGGGTATTGTGAATATTACAGTGAAAATGGATGAATTGGTTTTGCTGTAGTTTTCTGACTTAGATTTATTTGGATATATTCCCAGGAGGGGTACATCTACATTTTATGATGGTTTGCTTGTAGCTTTGTGCGGATTTTTCTGTGAAGAAGGTCATTGGAATTTCTGTGATGGTTATCTGGGTCTGGAGATTTCTTTTGTCAATAGAGGCAGTTTTGCAATATTAATTCTCATGAATATGGTTGATCTTGCAGATAAAATGATCCTATTCTTAAGTGATCTTGAAAGATCTACAGAAAAATAAGAAGTGATAAACACTTTTAGTAAAGTAGAATGATTTTAAATTAACTGTTCAGAAATCAGTGCCTTTCTTATGTACTAGAAGTAAAAGTATTAGGAAGAAATCACAAAGAAAAAAAACACAAAAGAAAAGAAAACAAGAAAGCTAGAACTAAGCCTAATCATGGAAGCATGAGACCCCTGTGAATGAAAGTCTCAAACACTGAGCGTGGCAGGTGAGATGAATGAATTCATTTACATGAATTCTCAGTAAAGGACTGTTTGCTTCTGCAAAGGCGGCAAAGTTAACCCCTGTTGTGATGGGTCACCTTTCCTCTGCTTTCCTGGAGCCTGCCCAAATGAGATGGTGGGCAGAAGGACCCCATGAGAACACACAGTTATTTTTGTCAAAATAAGAACAAAATGGGTTTTAAAAAACAAAAACAAAAAACAAAAGCAAGTGTATTTACTGGAAAATTCTAGGAGCTTGTGTGCAGTTCTTGCGTTTCTTTTTCCATATATCCTAGTAGTCCTCAGTCTGCCACTGAAACCTGGACTGGTGTTGAGTTTGTTGACTTAGAAACCCGACTTATGCAGGATGTGGCGACTGAGATTCAGGTTTTATTTCTGCCCTGGGTCCCACAGAACTGGCAGAGTTGATACGTAGTTCAGAGTCATACAAACAGTACCTGCCATTTTCAAAGGTCAGAGAGGTAAAAATTACACATCACACTGCTGTCTTGGTGGTAAGCACCAGTAGATTCAGCATCTTATGAAGCATTTTCGGGTTACTATTTAAACATTTTTTGCCAATAGTAGTTGGAGGTTTTACTGAGATGGATAGCCTCTCAGTTTTTAAACATCTCTTACCCTCTAGCTATTGAGATATTTAGAGGAAGGTACTTCTTCCTCACTCAGTTGCTATTGTGTTAACATTAGAAGAGTCCTTCATGATGGCCTCTTAGGTGGGACCACATTTGAGACTGTCTTGCTCTAAATTTGGAAAATATGGTAGCTGCATGGCTGTCCATGCTCGGTGGAAGCATATACCTTCTGGTATATATATTGACCAAGTCAGCAGTGCAATTATATAGACTACACTGGCACATTCTTGTAAAGAGAG